TTAAGCCACAAGCTAAAAAAAATGCGTCTGAATAAGCCTATGAAAGCGTTGCCATGGAAACTGCTAGTGACGAAATGACACCTATTTTTGGATAACCCATGATTATATAATTCAACCCCGTAAAAGTGTTCAACTGGCCTTGGTCAGTCTTTCTGTTGTATTCTTTCAAAGTTACAAATCATCAAAAAGACGAAAACCGGTACGAGCCACCTTTAGGAGGCTCGAAAGGGTTTATTTGACCGCGCGTAGAATGGATTCCAAGATGCACGCAAGTAAATTACTCGCGAGAGAAATAAGCGATGGCGCGCGCGATCAGATCCGCGGGCGAGTCATAAACAAACTTGACCGCCATAGGCGTTTCTAAATTGCTAGGTATCTCTACTGCTTCCAGAGGAAGTGCTGGTTTTAGAAACATAAATGGAAAGTTTACTTTTTGAAAGCAGGTAGGAAAATGTTTGGATGGCAGGAATCTTGCTAAAAATGGTCGAAAAAAGTTTATTTAAAGAGCTAAAGGAGGATGATGAAGTTAACACCGCATCAGCAAAGTCGCGAAGAGTGCGCTCGGTAGGTCTTAATTTGTACCGCGAAAAATCTATCTCGTGAAAATTTTTTTTCAGGTTGTGACAGCATTTTCCTAAATAACTCAAGCTCTACTTGACAGTTTTTTTTTTTTTTATCACGTGTACAGATAGAGAAGGTGATGATTAAGAAATTTGAAAAATTATGCAATAAAAAATATGGGTCACCGTGGTCGCTCAAGAACTGAAGACCATTCCCCTCTCTTTGTCTGGTCCATTGACTGAAAAGCAAAATATGGACGCGCTTAATCACCTGCTTACGTGTTTTTTATGCGCAGTACAAGTTGCACAGCGCTATTCTGAGTAATCATCTTAAAGGTCAAACCCCCTCTCCAAAATGGAACAAAATCACGACTGTTCTATTTTTCAATGAATATGATGGAAAAAAATCTCAATCTCTTGTGACCTCATATCTGCACGACTAAATCATGATCCTCAAAGCGTGTGTATCGCTTCACGTCTTACGTCTTCATGTTCATCAGTTTCTGCTAAAGGACAATTTAAGGGAGACGACTACGTTAACGAAGTGTGCTCTCTTTATTATAGTCACGAAGGCGTTAAAAGAGGTTTTGAGGACTAACGAAACGTGAACATTCAGTTTTAGGGACCAAGAGACTCAGTGGAAACAGGGAGAGGGTTGGATTCTTCAGAGAAAGAATTGTTCGTTTTATTTGCCAGGTTCTCTTTGTAAATACCCTACAAGAATGAAAGGCACTGCCATTTATGACTGTTCAAACAGTATATGCCAAAAACTTTTGAGATGGAACGTCTGTTAATGAGTTTTTAACGATTTGCTGGCCCACACAGAGATGTTAAAGAGGCTTTTAAAAAAAGAGAACAAGAAAATAAATTTCGGATTCAGCTGAATCATATGAGATTAAGTAGTTTTTGGACACTTGCTTAGCTGAGTCTCGTTCTTGGGTTCACCCCGCAGAAAGCACTCTATACAACACTCGAGCTCAAGTTCAGATATTTCAATTTTATCTTCACACACTTGAATCAAAACATAAAACTCATTATTTTTGGGCACTTTAGGAGGGAAATTAAAGGTTAAATGTGACAGAAAAAGAAACTCATCACAACAAAATAAAGCAGAAGCATTTGACCTAGTACATACATGTAATTAATGTTTCCAAATACAGCCATAAAAATGGGGTCTGCTACATTGTTTACATAATGTGAACTGGAATGAGCAAAATACGGCCGCATGTCAAGAAATTTCAGACTATCCTGCCCCTTAACGAAGACCCTTTGTATCAAATATATTAAGTTCAGAACCTTCACAGTGATATACTGTCCGAAATGTGGATTATTTGTGGTGCAGATACGAATTTATTGATCATGATATTAGCTATGGAATTCCGAGGGTGTAACTCAATCAACTGAACAGAATATATCCAGGCCAGTTACCGAAACGGATCCATGGATTATATTCAGATCAAGTGAAAAAAGGTTGTTTAATATGAAAACTGTAAACCACATTATGTTTATACCCTAACCTTGCGGCTACTAGTCTCCTTCCCAGCCGTTTTCTTGGGCTGTCACGCAACGCTCCCTCCAAAGAGAGCGTTGCGTGATAGCCCAAAAAGCCGGCTGCGAAGGAGACTATGCGGTTACCAGCTTGTGAACACAATCCAAAGAAATATATGAACTTATATACTTATATATGAAAATATATGAATATATAAAAATATATGAACTTCATATATTCATTGTATCTCACAATCCAAAGACTCTGTTTCGATACGTAAAAACAGCTCAGACGTTTCTTATAAACTGCGATGACTGTCAATTTCAGCGACTAATTCTCAAGTTTCCAGC